TTTCCTTTCCTTTCCTTTCCTTTCCTTTCCTTTCCTTCGCCACCAGCCACCAGCCACCAGCCACCGCCCATCTCTCCTCCAGAGCTTCGGCGATTGCGGACAGGTCAGCATCTCTGCGAGGGAAAGGAGAGCTGGAAAGCGGCCTCTCAGCCCCAAACCGAGTTTAACCCACAGACAAGACTCATCCCGTTCCACCTGTAACATGTCACTCGCCGTAAACATGCCTGGGAGAAATCAGGGAATACCCATATGTAGTCCTTGTGCCACCAATTCGAGCACGGGGTATTTAACATTTTGCCACTCCTTGAACATCAAGCAATACAGCAATACAGCAAGCCAACACTTTCTGGGGAGCAAATCCGTTTGAAATTCACCTAAACACGTATAACATCAGTCTAGGGGGGGTATTAAACAATTGGGGAACGTATAGCAGCAGGAGAACCCAGGAAGGAAGTACAAAAACTTAGTAAAGATGTAAAGTCCTAAGGATAAGTGATTAATAAAGAATAAAATATTGCATCAGTGATAATAATGAGTCACATTATTATAATCACCAAGATCGTTTTTTTGTTTTGTTTTTTGAATTTTTCTCTGGCGTTTGCATCCTATGACTGAACATAAGATGCAAACAACATAGCACTGGAATGAATGGAGTGGTGCATGTCCAGGAAAAGTGTCCAGAGGAGGGCAATAAAACCAATCAAAGAGAAGAAAGTCATTCATGTGAAGAAAAACTCAAGAGCTGACTACAGTTAGGGAGAAAAAAGTGAGAAATATGTACTGTCACATCAATCAGGGATGTAATTTAGAATGCAATTGTGAGTCTGGGATAGATCACTGTGTGACTCAGAAATTGGCAAAGATTTCAAATTTCATTGTTTTAAACAGTAATGACAACAACATTACTTCTTCCCACATTATATTGCCAAAATTAAGAAAGCTTGGGTTAATTACTTGTAGAGTTATGCAAAAGGTTTATAAACTTCTTCAAGTTGCAAAATCGAAGAGCGCTCTGAGTCCAGAATTCTTTCTGGAATTATTTATCTGAAATGAAGAGGACCATTCCCTCCAAGTATTCATCCTTAAAATGGAAGCACCATCTCACAGCTTTACCAGGTGGCCAGGTAGTCCTGGCCCTCCAGTCCTTGGTGTGGCCAGGTAGTGCTGCCCTCCAGTCCTTGGTGTGGAAGACAAAGTAGGCTGGCATAAGTTGTGTTGTCCCCATTGCCAATCTCTCTTCTGCCACAGTAAGGCTGGCAAATAATGCTGCCCGTATTTATTTCTTGTGGACCATGTTAAGGAAATGGATCAGTGGATTCTCCAGCTTCCTTTCTCTCCCACCGAGCACCTTTTTTTTAAAAAAAATTTTTTTGATGCCTTTGAGTCAGGGTTGACTCCTGGTGATTGCCTGGACTAAGTCCCTACCATTTTCTTGGCAAGATTTCAGAAGTGGCTTGCCATTGTCTCTTTCCTAGGACTGACTGGCCCAAGATCACCCAGCTGGCTTCATGGTGAAGACAGGACTAGAACTCCTGGTCTCCCAGTTTCCAGCCTGGTGCCTTCACCACTGCACCAAACTGGCTCTCAAGCATCATATACTCAGGGCCAAATTAAGGCCAACTGATGCCCTAAGCACAGTCCAACAGCAGTGCCCCCTGGCCCTTCCATTGCTTAATTGACGAGACATTAAGACTCAATAACTGCTGAAGGTGATATCAGAGATGAGAAATCCAGCTTTCTTCCAGGCCATCCCCCAGACCAGACCCCACATCTACATTAAATACAAACTTAATTTTTTTTTTATTTAGCACTAACACAATCAGTAGAAGAAATAATAAAATGAAGGGCTTAAGGGTCTGTTACATGAATCAGCTGACGAGTTAAATGCTAGCCAGACCCACCGAGCTGTGTGCCATGGCCAGCTTGGACTCTGACGAGGAAACCGATTATGAGCAGCCAGTTCCAGAGTTGCCGGATGAACAGCTGCCTGAGGAGCGGCAGGTGGAGGAGGCTGCGCCGCCCGAGAACCAGGAGACACAGCTACCGCCGGTCTGGAAGGTGGGGAGTCTGAGCTGCCCTGAGGAGCGGAGCGGAGCGGAGGGCAGAGCGAAGGTGCTCAGGGAGGCTCCTTGCAAGAAAGGAGCCTCGCCCTTCCAGATGAGCCACACCGGGGCTGCTGCTCTTGAAGAAGAGCGGCGAGCGCCGTGTGCCCTAGCTGCCAACTTGAAACCTTGTGACTCTGGACCAGCTGTGGCGTTTGGGCGCTTGGACTGTGCTCGACCGCTTTTGTGCCCGCTGTTCTGGATTTGGAACTCTCTCCAGGCGAGCTTTTGGGGACTTGATTTCTCCAGCGTGTGTGTGCGCTCATGTTTCTTTTGCTGCTTGTCCATTTGCTTCACAAGCATCTCGGTAAAGTTTGCAACCACCTCCCTCCCTGTGTTTGTGGGTGCACAGCCTGCGACAGGACACTGTGTTTGTACTGGACAGAAGCAAAACTCTCACACCATGAGAGGAAACATATGTGATACC